GCGTTTTTAATTGTCTTTAGTCCAAATAACAGCTAGAAGAGACAGACCGCAAACGCAAAGAAACTGAAAAAGGCTGGGGATCGAAATCCACCAATCACCTCACATACAATGACCTCAGTTTGACTATCGTGTTTTCTAAGAGGTCAGGTCCGTTGCACTGATTACTGGAAGCAAAACGGCGTACATGCAACAGTTTGTTTGGGTTTGAACTTCAGAACTCGTCCGCACTCGACTCTTAGAAAAAAAGAAGAAAAAAATGTGTAGTTTTACAAAAAACAGTAATCGAATCAACATTCGATTATGGAATCGAGGCTAAATATGAATATTGGATTGTTCATTTTATGAATGGATTATTGAATCAACAAACGAAATCATTTTTCCGTTAATGAATTTATTAGTTTGTTAGCGACGGGAACGCTTCACCTGGTTTGACTGTAAGAAATGCCGTGCGCAGTTTGCCGGACGTTATCATGATCCATGCACATTTCAAGCCTTATTTTAGCTAGCATGTTATTTCTGCAAACGTTTATAATTAGTTATTCAGAACTAAGGACTATATCAGCCGCATGACCAGCAGAAAAAAAAACTGGAAAACGAAATTTCTCCCTTAACGTTTCAGAGGAGCCGGAGACAAACAATCATTGTGTTTTCTTTTGCTTCTTAGGATCAGCTAGGGGCCTGTGTAAGTGGAACTGAAAACCTTCAGCTGTATTGTATTGTGGCAGACAGAAACAGTGAGAGGAGAAGGATGATCGGAGGAAGACTCTCCAACTGGAAGCAACAAAATGAAAACCAAAACTTTAACCGGGCGGGATTTCCTGAACGCAAATACAAGTCAACTAACTGAGATTGTTGTTTTAATTTATTCTCATGCTTGCCCCATGGCATAACGATAACACATTTTACTCTTACCTCAGGGGCGGATCTAGGGGGAGGGTGCAGGGGGTGCCCCCCCCCCCCCCCCTGAGATGATCTGCGGTTTTCTAATACAACTGGTATTCTGCAAAAAAAAAATTATGTGGTTTATTGGTGTTGAAGTAGAGCAAGAGACGAGTGCACCCCCTCCTAAAAAAAATCCTGGATCCGCCCCTGTACCTAGCTCATTTTACAGGATGATCAGATTCAAGAATGTTGAGTTTTTATGAAAGGAGACATTTTTTCATGATCCCGATTATTTTAAAATCAAATAAGCTTGCCATTTCAACGCAAAACAATGGCTATTACTTAAATAACTAGACATGATTATGGCAGACATAATGTAGTTCATGGCAAGGCATGATACTCACATGATAACTCGCTAGGTCAGGCTGTACCAGGTACTGCAAATCTAGCCAATTAGGTTATAGGGCGGTGTCAGGGTTAAGTAGGTATATCGAGGTATTTTCCCAGTAATTCTTCCTTCTCTCTTTCCCAGTAATTCTACCTTCTCTCCCTCGTCATCAACTCGGTCAGATCTCGAGCAAAATCTTTCCCTCCTCCTCCACTTTCACCTGCTTGCAGGTTATTATTGTTCACGGTATTTCCTGTTTCTTCTTTTTTCCTTTTCTGAAATATTTAGTTTTGTAGTTTGTGGCGGATTTTTGTGGCCCCATTTTGTATTCATTAGGTTAATCGGTTTACATATATCGATGTGTTGTGATTCTGTTAGCTTTGATTTCATTAAACCTGCCACAACCGTGGCCAGATTTATCCAACACAGTTGTTTGTTTGTATTTTAATTCTGTTCCTTATCGGAAAGTACGAAATCGGAAATGCAAGCAAAGCTCGCGCAGAGTTGGGCCTTGTTTTGAACACTTGCCTTGATGTAAAATAAAATCAACGTTAACAGCTAAATATTGTCCTTTAAATTTCATCACGACAGCAGTGTAGGTGGAAATTTCCACCGACATGTCCACTCCAAGAGAGAAAAAATGGTGGAAAAATTGAACGAAATTTTCAGTGTGGTAATAAAATGTCCATGGAAATTTTCGCCGACATTTCGAGTTTTCTGGGAAAATGTGGACGAAATTTTTCCAAACCACGTTTTACAGATAGTAAAATGTCGATGAAAATTTTCATCGACGTTGAAGTTAAAGATGTTGAATCTCGATAGACATTCATTTGCAAGACAAAACTATACCTTGTCAAAAACAAATCATTATTTGCCAGCCTGTGTGAGGTATGGTAAAAGTAACGTTTTTTTGCCCTATATCTCGTAATCTCATCGTGTTCAATACAGGAGAGTGCAAGTTAATGACAATCTTTTCCAAAACAGCTTTAAGCCTGAAAAAAATTTGCCTCATTCAGATCCAATTTGCCAGGGAGGGATAATATCTGGTAAAATATTCTATTATTTGCGAGTTTTTATCGTTTAAGAATATCGCGTTTTGTTTTAGAACGTGTTTTTATAGGACTAAGCCGAGATTATTTAATCATTAAGCCTGCAAGTGTAATTTGAAGCAATTGGGAACTCCTGTGTTGGCCTAAAGAACGATGTAGATCTCCACCAATCCTCTAACTCGTATTTTTGTAATGCCTCATACAAGTTCCTCCAGAATACTAACGCCATATCAAAGACAGTTATGATTGGACCGGCAAACGCCTTGGCTTCTTTTCTACTTGGTCGACATTCTCCAATCCATGGCTTTTGAGGGCGGCAGCAGGCGTAGTGGAATGACTTCAAAGGTCTAAAGACGAATCGCCTAATATTATAAGCGTAGGGAATTGCTTTCCAGCCACCGGGTGTATAAAAATCATTGAGTAAGACCTGATCATTTGGGCAGGTGTCTTTTTCTGTTGTTTCGCGCCAGAGTTTCATGATTCTTTGGTAGGTTTTCAAATCTGGCTTGATCACCAGAAGGCCTGCATTGAAGCAAAGGTCCAAAACACCAGGTCTGGAGCAAGGGACGGCGGCAAAATGTTCCGTGATTTGAAACAGTTCATCAATATTGGTCATCAATATGTAATCGGCGTCAACATAAATAATTTTAGTAAACTCTGTAAAGTTCCACGCGTAAAATCTTGTGTGTGTTCCCTTAATTCTGTGTCCTAGAGGTCTTCCAAAAAGTCCGCTATTTCGATCTCCACCAACTTTAGCATCCATCCAGTTGCAATCCATTTCTTCGACCAAACGAGTTTCCCATCCGACGCTCTGAAGCGCCTTTTGTGTATCTTTACTCACATTTCCAGATATAAGCGCAATCATAGTTTTGTGACAAGAAAATGTCTGAATTGAGTGACCAAGAACCAAAGCAGGAACGACAAAGCCATCACTGACCATAACAGTTAGCCACGAAACATCCTTTCCTGACCTGTCTTCATTCTTGTTACACCGCTGTTGGCCAAATTGTTTCTCCATTTCATACAATTTCCATTCCGCCTCTAAAAGCCGCAGTTCGTTGTCCAAACGCCTCTGATTATCATCACTAATATGTAGAGCAAGCATCTTCACAACTTGGAGAGGAAACGGTACTAAAATGGGTCTCCAAACGGCAAAGCAAATGGCCATAATTATAATCGGAGAGAAAGACAGCGTACAAATAATCAGCTTTTGACATTCACGTTGTCTTGGTTCAGTTTCATTGGTCATCTTCGACACCGGCGCTCACCACTGAACTCGATCAGTGCTGTAGCTTTCTAGCTCTCCTCTAAATCTCAGTTTGTCCCAGCAAGAAAACACACAAACCTTGGGTGCGGCTGGCTTCAAGCCAAGCGCTGTCCAAACCGAGCGGTCGAGAACGGGGAAAATAAGAAGACCAAAAGAAACTGCGTGGCCACCCACTGGCTACACACAGGCCAACCAATGGCAAAACAAGTAAAACTAATAGATCGTTTTCACTGTCACGCAACAAAAAATTAAATTGGAAACCGTCTAGTGGAAGAAACCAAGAAAATGAAATGTTATAGAAGACTAATATATAAACAATTTGTCCAAGTCTCAGGTCTTTGTGGCCCATAGTTTCTGAGTTAGTTGGCGAAACGTTTCACGCACCTTTGTAGAGCTTTGTATGGAGACGCCATATTGGTGCACCGTTTTGGTGCACCAACATGGCTGCCGGAAATCAACAAAAACATCTGGAGTTTACTTTTTCTATAAAAGCTCTTTCTTTTCACTCGAGAACTAGCGTACGTACGCATAAACATATCTTCTAATACTTGAAGTGGTTATGTTGCTGAAAATCAAGAGGACAGACTTTTTCAACGAGACAGCATTCCTATTTTGGTGTCACGCACTGTGAAAACTCGGAAGTTCAAATTGCTGTATTTTCGAAACGAAACATGCTACGGAAATGGAAACTTGTACAAAGATCCACTTTTTGTTTATCGTCAACCTAGTGTAAATAAGAATTCGTAAAACCTCGCTATTTTGACTTTACAATTTGATGACGTCACAGTGAAAACCATCTATAAAACTAAATGGAACTAAATGGAGCTGCGCAAGCCACCCACTGGCTAGAACACATAATGTCAATAAAATAGACGTAAGCCACCCACTGGCTACGAACAAGCCACCAACAACAGCAACAACAACAACAAATTTTATTGAAAATTGGAAAATAACTAATTACATTACTTTCCCACCCGGAAACAGCTTATAAACTAGTCGAGGCGGGGGAAGCTGAAGACATATTACAAAACAAGATTTATATATAGATGGACTAAATAACAGTGAAGACACTACTATACAGTAAATAGGGATTGTAGCTATTTATTGTATGATATCAACAGACAGACAGCACCAGTTAGTATACTTGTGTGAGATTATAACATTGCGTGACAATTAAGATGGACACTTAATTATAGTGGTAGTGATCGGAATGTATATCATTAAGGGATCAATTTCAATACCTTGTTTTTTAAGCATGTTATCTTCATTTTTTAGTTAGTTGGGTTTAGATTTCGTGTGTACCTTTGGCAGTAAACTTCCCTATTTGGAATAAACCCTTGAAACTGTGAAATCGTGAAGTTTCTGCGTTAGCGTTCACGACAAAAGTGGCACCTCCGACGGGACCGTGAGAATAATGGAGATGCTTATCGGAAAACTGAAAGCAAAACTACAGCTTTTGGAGCTCACCCACGAGAAGACAGAGGGTATTATTAGTACCGGGATCACCGAGAAAATTCGTCGACATAAAGAAGCTTTACAGAGCATTGTTATCGGCGCGGAAGAAATCAAGAGAGAGGTCGAACAAGCCAAGCTTGAAGGTGGGGAGGCCTTAGACAAAGTTAAAGAATGGGGGAAAGAATTCGAATTGAAAATCGACGCTGCAGATACGGAGATCACCTTACTCGAAGAGCGTGTGAAACGAATGGTGGCTGATGCGGAGAATGAAGAAAGAGAAACAAAGGAGACCCTGTTGGCCCGCCAGCGTGAAGAACAATTAAAGTTCGAAAGGACAGCAACTGGAGCAGAAGGCAGAGTTCGAAAAGGAAAAGGTTGCCTCTCCGGGTAAACAGAATGTCAAACTTCCGAAGCTTGTCATCACGAAGTACAATGGAGCCCTTGAGAACTGGCTGGCATTTTGGAATAAATTTGAGGCGGAGATTGACAAGACCGGTCTGCCAGCGGTCACGAAATTTGCCTATCTAAAGACGTTAGTGGAGCCGCGAGTGAGAAAGGGGATCGATGGCCTACCTTTTACATCAGAAGGCTACGAGCGTGCGAAAAATATTCCTCAAACAAATTACGGCCAGACAAGCGAGATTATTCATGCCTATGCGGAAAACATCCAAGTGCTCCCTGTTATTTCCGGAACACATCCCGCGAAGATTCACGATTTCTTCGAGACAATCCTGTACAATGTTCAGTCGCTTGAAACTCTAGGAAAAACGTCGGATTGAACAAGCTGCCGGGAATCAAAGCGGAACTAGTTCAAGGGAAACCGGACTGGAAAACGTGGGATTTAACTCAGCTTATCAACGCCCTTCGCGGGTGGGAGGAGATTCACCCCCGTGAAATCGCGAAATCCTGTGACAAAAGTTTTTACGTAGAAGACCAAGACCCGAATGCACCACGGGGGTGTGGTTTTGCAATAACACCTCACACAAGCCTAGTGATTGTACAGTTATCTCAAGCGCCGCCGATAGGAAGAAATTTCTACAAGAGAAGAGGCTTTCTTTTAATTGCACTGGCCCTCATCGAGCAGCTCACTGTCGAAGCCGAGGAAACTGCGCTGGCTGTAAGCAGAGGCATCACACATCTATCTGCGATCAGCCTACCCGACCTGCAAACGAAGGAGCTGCAATGACCGCCGCACACGTGGGGGAGAACGTCTGCCACCCAGTAGTTATAATCAAGGTCAATGGAGTGAAACGCCGTGCGTTACTTGACACTGGAGCCACTGGGTCGTACATATCAGCCTTCTTGGTGAATCTCTTGAAAGTAAAGCCTTCTCGAACCCTGACACGTGGTATTAAATCAATCGTGGGATTGGTCACCCAGCGCGTCGAGACCTATGATGTGAAGATATGCGATACACTAGAGTAGTGCGTGCTACCAGTCTGCGTGACGAAAATCGAACAGCGCGAGCTACTAACCCTGGAGAACCCTAACTATCCTGAGATGCTGGGGCGATATCCACATCTTAAAGGTGTCCGAATGGAAGAAACCGACACAAAGGAACTCCTTCCCATCCATGTGATACTGGGGGCAAATGAGTACACGAAGATCAAGATGGCCGGTTATCAGCGCGCAGGAGCCGTGGGCGAGCCGAGCAGACCAGGTTCGGGTGGACGATAATGTTATCAGGTGCTGAAGTTGACTCTCAAAACATGTTCTTGACACAGACCTCAATTGGAGACTACGAAGAACTGTGCCGTATGAACGTTTTGGGATTGCAAGACACGCCTATCGGAGATCAGGACGTTGTGCACCAGGAGTTCCTTGAACAGCTTAAACGCAGTCCAGAGGGATGGTACGAAACTGCGCTCCCTTGGAAATTAGGCCATCCCCCCTTGCCTAATAATAAGACCGGAAGCCTTAAGCGCCTTGCCTCACTAATACAGCGCCTAAAACGGAACGGCAAAATTGAAAGATTATGATGGCATAATACAGCAGCAACTAGAAGCTAGGAGTGAAGCCGGGGGATTGTGGACTCCTTGGATTGAGGTGGAACAAAGACTCTAATAATTATAATAATAATAATAATAATAATAATAATAATAATAGACTTTATTTAAAGAGGGTAGCACGGAATAGTTACAGAAACTAGTAAACTTGTGGCCCTCTATCTAAATTAAAATTACAAAAAGCATAAGATTCAGAATATACAAAGTCTAAGTACAAAATAAATAAAACTAAGGAAATATAAAAGTTCTACATCAATATGAATGAGTATATAAGAGCTAATGATACGGCTAGTGAAATACATGCAAGAATATGATTAAACTATGAAATGGTGTATTTCCTGCTGCTCTTTAAATAAGATATTTCGATAATTATTCTTAAAGGATTCTAGTGATACTGCATTTCTAAGGTTTAGACTTAAGCTGTTCCAGAGTTGGCAATTAGAAACTGCGAAAGACCTACCGCCTTCGGTGACTCGATTAAATTTTGGGCAAATAAAATTTATATTACTATGTCTAGTTACACGACTATGTTGCTGGCCGTTGAGTCTTAATGAGTCTTCAATATATAAGGGAACTTCACCCTTGATGCGTTTATATGCCACACAACATTTAAACATTTAGCTATTTTCACTTCTTCATAAAAAGGAAGCCACTGTAGACTATTAAAAAGCTTAACACTAGACGCTTGGTTATTAGCGTCGGAAATTACCCTTGCTGCTCTCTTTTGTAGCTTAAAAACACGGCTTAAATTCTCCTTATCACAACTAGTCCAGATTGAACTGATATAATGCAATACAGACCTTATCATAGTATTATAATACAATAGCCTTTGTTTCGTGGGCAGGCAAGATCTTATCTTTTTTAATACGCCAATTCGATGAGACAGTTTTTTACAAAGTTTCTCCACATGGGAAGTAAATGACAGTTCAGAATCAATTTCGTAACTAGCAGCTTAGCACTGGGAACGAGTTCGAGTTCAGTTCCTTTAATAGTTAAAGTCATTTCTTCATTGATCTTTGAGGGGAGACGCTTGCCAGTGATTAGCATAGCCTTGGTTTTACCTTCATTAATTGGCAGTTTGTTCGAAGCTGCCCAATCGACGATTTCGGCAATTGACGAGTTTAGGGTACCCTCTAGCCTTCCGATAGAGCTATAGTTCGTACTGGAAGTCAGCGTTGTATCGTCGGCATACAAATCAATTCTTGATGAAGTGACGTAAAGCGGTAAGTCATTGATAAAGACGATAAATAACAAGGGGCCAAGTATGGACCCCTAGGGAATACCATGAAGAACAATAGCAACACTTGACTGTTTATCTCCGAGCTTAAAAAGTTGGCGTCTGTCCTTCAAATAAGAGGTAAACCATTGAAGGGAGTCCCTACTAATCCCATACATTTCAAGTTTCTTTAACAACAGGGTATGATCAATCATGTCAAACGCTTTACGATAATCTACCAAAACCATTCCACTTACACGGTAATTGTTTAGGTTGAATAGCAGATCGTCAATAATCTTGATCAAGACAGTTTCAGTACTGTGCTTCGAGCGAAAGCCCGATTGTCTGATGTAGATTAACTCGTTTTCGCACAAAAAGCTGTAGAGTGCATTATGAACATCTCTCAGCGATCTTAGACAGAATGGGTAAAACTGATATTGGACGATAGTTTGTAACATCAGTGGGGTCTCAGCTTTTGAAGATTGGTGTTACCTTGGCAGTTTTCCAAAGACTGGGAAACACGTTCAAAGAAAAAGATAGGTTGATCAACTTTGTGATTGAAGGTGCAATAATCGGAGCAGCTAGTTTAAGCATTCGAGAACTGATGCCGTCGACACCAGTAGATTTATTGGAATCAATTTTCAAAAGATAGCCAACAACATCTGCTTCTGCTATAGGTGGAATTGAGAAAGCATAGGTGTCAAACGGCACGTCGGGTAACAGTTTTCTCAGCTTATCTGCAACTGTTGAGAAGTGTACATTGAATGCTTCAGTCATTTCTTCGTTATTTCCTAAATCTTTCTCTTTGATTCTTAGGTGATTAATCGATTGCTGTTTATTGACACCGATGAGCGATTTGATGGTCTTCCAGATTCCCTTAGGGGTTATTCTTATTATTCTCGATCGAAGGCAGTTTTAAAGAACTCGGACTTAGCTCTTCTCAATAGAAAAACTGCTTTATTCCGAGCTCTTTTGTAACTTTCTCAGTCGGCAGGAGTTTTCGATCTTTTTGCAATTTTTAGAAGCCTGTCCCGCTTCCCCAGCTGCTTTATGACAGAACTATCTAACCAGGGCGATTTTTTGGCCTTTGCAGCTCGTTTAACTCGCCAAGGACAATTCGAATCCAGTGCCGAATTAAACAACGATTCCCACGAGGAGAGCATATCATCGATATCGTCAAAAACAAATACCGAGTCCCATAGGGTTTCTTTGAGCGCAGATTTAAACTGCTAATCGTTAAAATCCTTCATTTTGCGATACTTGATATAGGTGTTACCCTTTTGTTGATCATTACGTTCGTTATTACGGCTGAAAAGTTTTACCGCGAAGACTGGTAGATGATCGGAGAGACCAATGTTAGGACAGACAATATTCTGGATGCGCTGAGGATTGTTGGTGTGAATGTGATCTAAGCACGTATTACTCACTGGTCGTGTCGTTCTAGAGACAAGGTGTTTGAAATTCATACTATTCAAGCTCTCGCTAAAGCGATGTTTATTGTACGTCTCGGGATTGGAGGCATCAATATTAAAATCTCCGACCAAGATAGTCTCTTTATTAAATAAATCAGCTCTTTCAATGTTATTTTCAAGGGCGATATCATCAGCCCTGGTAGAAGATGGAGGTCGATAGATTCCAGCCAGCAATGGGGATCTTTTAGATTTGAACGGAGCAATCCCGAGCCACAATATTTCCAAATTTGAGTCTTCCAGATCAGTCCTACGGATTGCAGACAATTCACCATTAACAAAATCCAGTATTCCACCGCCATTTTTAATTCGCCGGTCACGTCTGAAGATCGTAAATCCTGGAACAGAGTAAAGAGAGTCCGGGATATCAGACTTTAAGAAAGTTTCATTTAACCAAAGGACATCAACTTGTGGTGTTCCATCTTTGTTTTTCAAAAACAATTTGATTTGATCAAATTTAGATGAAGTTAGATGGTTAACATTCCAATGACCAATTCTTAGACCTTTACACGGTAGACCCAGATTAAAATAGAGATGAGGTTCAAAGTCATCAAGCGAGCTCGTTGAAGTGTTAAATTGACTTGCAAATGAGTCATGGCCGTCGCTTTCACTATCCAGGGAAGAGAAACTTTCATTTCCAAAGCCAAGTCGCTCCGAAGGACCGAAGGATTCATTGCTTAGTGGACCAGGATTTAGCATT